GAGGTTAAAAAAAAAGAAAGACAATCAGTATTTACTAGAGTATAGTGAAAAGAGGGGAGACTGGCATAAGGTGGGGTTGGAAAGATAGGCAGAGATTTTTCATATGAAAAATAATTATTTTGAGAGCTGTGATATAGACAAATATGTGGAAAAAAAAAAAAAAAAAAAAGGTTGAACTAGAAGCAGAAGACAGAGGTGACTGCCAAGGGGGTAGGAAAATGGAAGATGTAGTATTACAAGGGCACTATAAGCTTTCAGTTATAAAATAAATAAGCTTTGGAAATCTAATGAATAGCATTATGAGTACAGTTAATAATAACAATGTTTTGCATGCCTAAAATCGGTATTAACACAGCAGACAAGTGTTTTCAACATAAAAATAACTATGTGAAGTGACAGGTGTGTTCATTAACTTAACTGTATTAATCATTTCACTATATATAGATATCAAATCATGACACTGTACACAATAGTTATCCAATTTTTATTTGTGTAAAAAAATCACATTATACACATACATATCTACACACACATATATATAAATGACACAGACCCACGAAGTTTCATACTAAACAAGAGAAAATTATAAAATGACAGTTATTTTAAAGGAAGGTAACAAGTGGGAGTTTACTATATAATCGGTAATGTTCTACACTCCCCAACGACCCAGCGTATTTAAGAAATCTAGGATGTGAGTAGATATATTAAACTGAGAACAGCTGAGAAATTTGGGCACATAGGGTTTAAATTACAAATCTCAGTTCACACAAAAGAAATAACATTTTTAAGTAAACAACACTAGACTTTCTTATATTTAGGGAGATGCTTAGTCTTCTGATAAAATTACTATCAATTTCTGTAGAATCACATTTGAAATCTCCACAGGGCAAGTCATAAAGGAGAAAACATATATCTGTTGTGGGATTTCTGAACCAAATACCAGTATCACCATTACTCTCACATGTTCCAGATGCAATGCAAAAAGGGATCTTAAAAAATATTTTAGGCTGGGCGCGGTGGCTCACGCCTGTAATCCTAGCACTTTGGGAGGCTAAGGCAGGTGGATCACGAGGTCAGGAGACTGAGACCATACTGGCTAACATGGTGAAACCCCATCTCTACTAAAGTACAAAAAAAATTGGCCAGGTGTGGTGGCAGGCGCCTGTAGTCCCAGCTACTCGGGAGACTGAGGCAGGGGAATCGCTTGAACCTGGGAGGCAGAGGTTGCAGTGAGCCAAGATTGTGCCACTGCACTCCAGCTTGGGTGACAGAGCGAGACTCCATCTCAAGAAAATTACGTGTGTGTGTATATATATATACACACATAATTTTAACAGAGTTCCTCAAAAATACGCAGACAGTTCCACGTCCCCCAAAGCAATGGAAGAGCAGTCAGATCATGCAGTCCCCTATGACCTATGAAGATGACTGTGACGCTTACTGTGAACTTGAAGGAAAATCACTGAAGGGAAGTACAGTCCTTAGATAATTTAAGAGCATGAGATAGAAGATGCCCCTATGTGAGAGCAAGAGAAAGAAATCCAGGCTTCTCAGAAGCCGTTTCCATGGGAGTAGAGCTTCCCAAACCACATTTTAAAGTCTGGCTTCTTCCTTGATCCTCAGACCCCCTACCTATGTTTGCTTCATTCACTCCCACCTACCTGAGTGTTTGGCTGTCTTCTCTGTGTTCACATTCCAGGGCTCTTTCCTTGCCTCCAGATAGATGATCAGTTCTGGCTTAGACATAGCAAGACCTGTTTTATTAGAAAAAAGGTGCATGATTCTTGTGGGGATTCTTGAACTACCAACCTTTCACTGTGCTCAGTAGAGAAGAGAAAACATCACATTAGATCCTAGAAAGTTAACTCCAGAATACTGTTTTCTGACAGAGCCTTTAATATATTCAGGAAGTGTTTTAAATTTGTGAGTCCTCAGCTCTGCTACCAAGAACTATAATAACTGGATCAAAACTTGGTGGTGGAAACTGGATTTTGAAGTGGAGGCAACAATATTTGATACTACTGAATTTCTAGAATTACCACCAATCTAGAGCAAGGATGTACATCAGCTGAAGAGAAAGGTTGATGTCAAGGCAAAACATCTTGAAAGTTTTGTTTTCTACACCAAGGAATCCCCAAGGTTTTCTTGAAAGCAGTGATCTGAAACTCATTCATGCAAATCAGAAACTCCCAGAAAACATTCTACAACGGAAAAAGATGAAATCCTTACGGTGAAATAGGAATTGCATATTGAAGTGATCCTCACCAAGGGAGAATAGGTTTCTGTAGTTCTCTAACATCACATCCCTGTACAAATTCCGCTGGGCAGGGTCCAGGCATTCCCACTCCTCTGGAGAGAATTCTAGAGCCACATCCCTGAATGCCAATAGTCCCTGAAAAAGAAAACATTTACCAAGTGGCCATGGCAGAGTTCGACTCCAGGCAAGGAGACAGAGTGAAGAGAACTGGCTCTGACTTATATGAGTGACTAGAATTATCAAATAAGATAATTTTTAACACACAAATATACTCTAAGCCAGGTGCGGTGGCTCATGCCTGTAATCCCAGCACTTTGAGAGGCCGAGGAGGGCGGATCACGAGGTCAGGAGATCGAGACCAGCCTGGCTAACATGTTGAAATCCCGTCTCTACTAAAAAATACAAAAAAAAATTAGCCAGGCATGGTGGTGGACGCCTGTAGTCCCAGCTACTCGGGAGGCTGAGGCAGGAGAATGGCGGGAACCCGGGAGGTGGAGCTTGCAGTGAGCCGAGATCCGGCCACTGCACTCCAGCCTAGGGGACAGAGCGAGACTCCATCTCAAAACAAACAAACAAACAAACAAAAAAGATCCACAAACCAGTGTAGATACTCTACTTTTGTGCATAATATAGTATAAAATTAAGGGCATCAACTCAAGCACTGATATATTCACATCCTACAGGATAAGTCGTGTATTGTTCTCACATGGAGAAGTCAGGGTGAGTTAGAAGGTACTTCTCAAATTTTAACAAGTATGTCAATGAAGTAGAAATCTTGTTAAAATGCAGGCACAGGCTGGGTGCAGTGGCTCACACCTGTTATCCCAGTACTTTGGGAGGCTGAGGTGGGTGGATCGCCTGCAAGTCAGGAGTTCAAGACCAGCCTGGCCAACACGGTGAAACTCCATCTCTGCTAAAAATACAAAAAATTAGCCAGGCATGGTGGTGGGCGCCTGTAATCCCAGCTACTTGGGAGGCTGAGGCAGGAGAATTGCTTGAACCTAGGAGGTGGAGATTGCAGTGAGCCAAGGTAACGCCATTGTACTCCAACCTGGGCAACAAGAGTGAAACTTCATCTCAAAAAACAAACAAATAAAATGCATGCATGGTGGCTCATGCCTCTATTCCCAGCACTTTGGGAGGCCGTGGTGGGTGGATCACTTGAGTTCCAGAGTTTGAGACCAGCCTGGGCAACATGGCGAAACCTCATCTTTACAAAAAATACAAAAATTAGCCATGATGGCCCATGCCAGCGGTCCCTGTGACTTGGGAAGCTGAGATGAGAGAATTTCCTGAGCCTAGGAGGCAGAGGTTGCAGTGAGCTCAGGTCACACCACTGCACTCCAGCCTGGGTGACAGAGTGAAACCCATCTGGAAAAAAAAAAATTCTTTTTTTTAGTGTAGATTTTGATTCAGCAGATCTGGGATGAAGCCTGAATTTCTGACTTTCTAACAGGCTAGCCAGCGGCGCCTATGCTTCTGGCTCAAGAAGAATATTTTGTCAAACATCCAGTAAATAGCAGAGCCTACATTCATCCCAGTTGATTCGACCAGTAAGCAAACATGAGAGCCTTCATTTTCTAGAGAAAGCTGTGTGCAAAGAGAATCTAAAGAGAAAAAGAAGCTTCCCGATTGTGATTATTTATGTACATCAATCAGTAAATCTCCCCAAAATACTTATTAATAACAAAAGGAAAAATAATTAACCCTACGGTGGAAAATTCTGGCAGACAGCACTTTATTCAAGTGAATAAAATTAACATAAATTACAATAGGAAAATTGGCATCGTGTGCTAATACACACAAGAGGTACAACATCACTGCTGCTTTCTTGGCTAGTAAATTATTACTGAATATAAATAAATTATTGCCCAGTAAATTACTGAAAAAATTACATAACAATTACACGAAAAGTTACCTTAATTAAATTACAATCGGCCGGGCGTGGTGGCTCACGCCTGTAATAGCAGCACTTTGGGAGGCTGAGGTGGGTGGATCATGAGGGTCACGCCTGTAATAGCAGCACTTTGGGAGGCTGAGGTGGGCGGATCACGAGGTCAGGAGATGGAGACCATCCTGGCTAACATGGTGAAGCCCGTCTCTACTAAAAAAATACAAAAAACTAGCCAGGCATGGTGGCGGGCGCCTGTAGTCCCAGCTACTCGGGAGGCTGAGGCAGGAGAATGGTGTGAACCCGGAAGGCGGAGCTTGCGGTGAGCCGAGACAGCACCACTGTACTCCAGCCTGGGCGACAGAGCGAGACTCCGTCTCAAAAAAAAAAAAAAAAAAGAAAGAAAGAAGGCTCTGGGATATAGGGGAGAAAGAGTATACAGAGCTCACTGACTATCACAACAAAAGGTTCGGGGGAGTAAGTTAGGCAGGAACATCAGAAGTAAAGACATAGTCGTGGGTTCTAAACACATGACATTCCACAAAAAAAAAAGTGGACACAGTCCCTGAATCCAGACACATTCTCCTGAGAACCATTCGTTTCTTCGTCTTCCTCCTCCATTGCTGGGATTCCTTCTCAGGTGAGAGTCTCTGGGCCAATCACACCTGCATCCTGTAAGCCTTTAAAAGGGTCGGCACAACCCTTTCCCCTTCTACCACCACATCCACAGGAAGAAAATCCTAGAGGTTCATAAAAAGTACACCCTCCCTGTCCTTTTATCACAGGAAAGAGTCAGGAACAATGAGCTCCTACATAAAGATCAAAATGTGTGTTTCTTTGTTTTCCGGTGCCCTTGTCCTCCAAAGACTCCAGCAATTGCCGCTGCAGCCACGGGAATATGGGCCACACTGACCCACCTCTACCAAACCCAAGCAGAGCAGGCCCTGTAACCTTTCTTTGGAACAAAGGCTGAACTCAACTCTCATGAATATATCTGGGAGCCCTCATGCATGGCCCTGGCTTCACTTAGAATCATCTGGAACACTTAAAACAATATGGATGCTCCCACCCAGACCAACAGACAGAATCGGGGAGGGAAGCACAGAGGTGACAGTATTTCTTTAAACTGGCCATGTCATCCTAATTGAAGCCTGGGGTGAGAGCCACTTAGCTAAGTATTACCCCTCGAGTCTCAATGTACAGATAAATAATTTGGTATTCCAGGCCCTCGTCTAAGTAATGTGATTCCAGAGGTTTAGAAGGGGTCTACAATTGGCTTCTTGCACGCTGATGCTGCCTCTCCTAGACCACTATGGTAGCACTCAGCTAGAGAAAGCAGGCACAGCACTGAGTCCCTTACACTCAGCGCTGTGATCACAACACAAATACTTATGGTCCAAGGTGAAGGTCACAAATCAGCATCCTGAAACATGACATTCTCTGCTGGCCCTTATCAAGCTGGACCCCTATGGACTCCAGTAGGAATGGCATGTCCAACAGACCAAAGAAGAGACCTGGAGCCAAAAAACGAGACATAGGCTTTATTGAGGGGGACTGATATACACGGATGGTCCAGTGGTGGTGGGATGGACAGAAGAACTATTACCACTCGCAAAAACACGCAAGGAGAACCACAACTGCTTGCAAAAAGCAAGCAGTTCATATAGCATTTTCACTTAACACCCTCCACCTGGCAACCCCCACCTAGCAACCCTCATTGCTGTCAGCTACATCTGCCATACAGGCTCATTCTCAAGGGAGGCTAACGTTTAGCTGTTGCTGTCAGGTGTGTCTGCCATACACAGGTGCATCTACCATACACTCCACCCTCCCATACCCTTGAATACCCTCACATTCTTTTCAGGCCATTCTTTCGTGATTTCCCCGGGGGCAGGTATATGGAGGAACATTGTGGCCAGATGCCACAGCAGCAATAGAAACTATAACAACAAAAACAAAACCAGAAAAAGGAGTAACAATCACACTGCATAGAAAGTCCTCCCAAGAGCTTGGGATTGGATCCCGAGTGCATTACAGCAAGCCTGTGGTGGTGGAGGAGGAAGAGGGCGGCTCTGCAGACACAATAGTTCCTCCTGCTCTGGAGTGAGGCCACCATCTGCACCTGGTTAGCAAAATGGTTTTACTGCACACCATTCACCAGTGGAAGGTGCTGTGCTGACTGCCCAGCCTCTGTTTGTCAAGTGAGACAGCAAGGTTTGCAAGCTACGTGTGCCAGCTGGAGAAAGACTCAGAAGCCAACATGATATGGGATGAAACCCATGTCCCCACCCCCGCCACCAGGGGCAGTCCATCAACCGGGGTCTGTTATCCTGTTACCCGAAGTTCCTGACAGATAGTGGGGCTATGTGAACATCCCTGAGGCAAGACAGTAAAAGGCAGAACACACTGTAATGTTTGATAGCAGAAAAGGATGAAAATACCCAGAAACATCCCAGGCGTGTACACTCCTCTCCCAGAGGAGACAGGGAGCCTATATTCAGCATCCTTAATCCATTTCCCATTAAAAAAAAAAAAAAAAGTGCAGTCGTCTGCCAGTGGTCATTCAGTTTTACATAAGCACACTCCTTGAGGCTGAAGTACATCTGACTGATTTTCTTTTGTCTTTTTTTTTCTGAGACAGAATCTCGCTATGTCACCCAGGCTGGAGTGCAGTGGCGCGATCTTGGCTCACTGCAAGCTCCGCCTGCCAGGTTCACACCATTCTCCTGCCTCAGCCTTCCGAGTAGCTGGGACTACAGGCGCCGCCACCATGCCCAGCTAATTTTTTTGTGTTTTTAGTAGAGACGGGGTTTCACCGTGTTAGCCAGGATGGTCTCGATTTCCTGACCTCATGATCCACCCGCCTCGGCCTCCCAAAGTGCTGGGATAACAGGCATTAGCCACCACGCCTGGCCAAATCTGACTGATTTTCAATGTTAAAATAAAATATAAAAACTGTCCTTGGAATTATTTCTAACTTGTCTCTAATCCTAATGCAACAGAAATATATATGATGTTACATTAGGAACAGAGACAGGACAGAAATGTAACGGAAATGTCTATGATGTTACGTTAGGATTAGAGACAAGAGTATTCTCAGGGCGAATGAGAAATGGGTTAAAGAAAACAAATTTCAACCACGAATTTTGCATGTAGCCAATCAAAGCTTTATAAGTGAAGGAGAAACAAAATTCTTTCCAGACAAGCAAATGCTAGGGGAATTCATGACCACCAGACTTGCCTTATCAGAGGTTTTAAGAGAATGCTGGCCGGGCGTGGTGGCTCACGCCTGTAATCCCAGCACTCTGGGAGGCCGAGACGGGCGGATCACGAGGTCAGGAGATGGAGACCACCCTGGCTAACACGGTGAAACCCCATCTCTACTAAAAAATACAAAAAATTAGCCGGGCGTGGTGGCAGGTGCCTGTAGTCCCAACTACTTGGGAGGCTGAGGCAGAAGAATGGCATGAGCCTGGGAGGCGGAGCTTGCAGTGAGCTGAGATTGCACCACTGCACTCCAACCTGGGTGACAGAGACTCTGTCTCAAAAAAAAAAAAAGAAAAGAAAAGAAAAAAACAAAAAAAGTGTATTCATAAATTCTTAGTGTTTGAATGACAGCTAAAATTTCTTCTTAGAGCCAGGCATCTGGCTCATGCCTGTAATCCCAGCACTTTGGGAGGCCAAGGAGGGCAGATCACCTGGGGTTAGGAGTTTGAGACCAGCCTGGCCAACATGGTGAAACCCCATCTCTACTAAAATACAAAAATTAGCCAGGCATGGTGGCAGGCGCTTGTAATCCCCGCTACTCAGGAGGCTGAGAATCATTGAACCTGGGGGGTGGGCAGAGGTTGCAGTGAGCTGAGAGTGCACCACTGCACTCCAGCCTGGGCAATAGAGCGCGACTCCGTCTCAAAAAGAACAACAACAACAAAAAAAGAGCACTCACGATGACCAAGTGGGATTTATCCCAGGGATGCAAAGATGGTTCAACATATGTAAATCAATCCATGTGACACATCATATTAACAGAAGGAGAAAAACCATATGATCATTTCAACTGATGCTGAAAAAGAATTTCATAAAATTCAACATCCCTCAATGATTAAAAAAAAAACCCTCGAAAAACTGAGTATAAAAGGAGCATACACAGTAAAATCATAAATGACAGACCACAGCTAGTATACTGAAGAAGGAAAACTGACAGCTATACCTCTAAGATGTGGAACAAGAAAAGGATGCCAACTTTCACCAGTGATTCAACTTAGTACTGGAAGTCCTAACTAGGACAGAAAAGAGAACAAAACAAAGCTCTCCAAATTCGAAAGGAAGAAATCAAATTATCCTTGTTTGAAATGATATGATCTTCCACTTGGAAAAACCTAAAGGCTCTACCAAAAAACTATTCAAACTGAAAAGCAAATTTGGTAAAGTGGTAGAATACAATACTAACATACGATAATCAGCATTTTTATATGCCAACAGCAAACAATCTGAAAAAGACATGAAGAAAGTAATCCCACTCATGATAGCAACAAATAAAATACCTAGGAATAAACTTAACCAAAGAAGTGAAAGATTTCGACCACAGAAACTATAAACCATTGATGAAAGAAACTGAAGAGCACACAAAATAACTGAAATACATTCCGTGTTCATGGATTGGAAGAATCAGTGTTGTGTAAATGTCCGTAACTCCCCAAAGCATTCTACAAACTCTGTGTAATACCCACCAAAATACCAAAGACATTCTTCACAGAAATAGAAAAACTAAGCCTAAAATTTTTTTTGGAATCACAAAAGATTAAGAACAGCCAAAGCCATCCTGAGCAAAAAGGAAAAAACTGGAGGAATTACTCTACTTGACTTCATATTATATTACACAGCTATAGCAACAAAAACAGCATGGTACTAGCATAAAACAAGGCACATAGATCAATGGAACAGAATAAAGAACCAAGAAAAAATCAGTACATCTACAGCAAATTCATTTGTGACAGAAGTGCCAAGAACATACTCTGGGGGAAACAATAGTCTCTCAATAAATTGTGCTGGGAAAACTGGATATTCATACGCAGAAGAAAATTTGACCCCTTGGCCGGGTGTGGTGGCTCACACATGTAATCTCAGCACTTTGGGAGGCCAAGGCAGCAGGGTCACTTGAGGCCAGGAGTTCAAGACTAGCCTGGCCAACATAGTGAAACCCTGTCTCTATTAAAACACAAAAATTAGCTAGCTGTGGTGGCCCCGGCCTGTGGTCCCAGTTTATCGAGGAGGCTGAGGCATGAGAATCACCTGAGCCCAGAGGACGACAGAGTGAGACTCTGTCCCAAAAAAAAAAAAA